TCCGGGAATTGTACCTTCAACATTTTCACCTCCGGGAAGTGTACCTTCGACATTTTCACCTCCGGGAAGTGTACCTTCAACATTTTCACCTCCGGGAATTGTACCTTCAACATTTTCACCTCCGGGAAGTGTATCCACCGCATTTTCATGTTGAGGAAGTGTATCCTCCGTATTTTCACCCTGGGGGGATGTAGTCTTGGAAGTTGTACTCCGGGGAGTTAAACCCTCTGCATTTGTACTCTGGATGGATGCATCGTCGGTATTTCCGGCAGATGTATCTCCTTCGTTGTTCGATACGTTCTCGGGGATTTGCTCCTGGGTACGAATACCGTCATCTATTTGTTCCTGTACAGGATAAGGTGTGGATGGTGTAGTACGTTGAGGTACATTACGGTATCTTCGTTGTAAAGGTCTGTCTCTTGTATTACCATTGCCAGCCACATTAGGTGGAGATCTTGCTATCTGCCCATCTGTCACGACCACCTCGCGCATTTCACTTACAGACGACTGGCATAGGCGTACGGGGCGGGGGGGCAGGGGGGGCAACTGCCCCCCCCCAAAAATTTTGAGAATCAAGCCATTCGGGCAAGGGATTCACCCAGATTCGGGCAAAAAAGGATTATGTAACTTGATAGTGAAATAATAGCAATAGCGCATATCCTTAACTTGGCACTGCAAGACGCAGTGAGTGATGTGCAACCGCTCCGAAATGCACTAGGGACATTACAAATGTGTATAATTTCTTGGAGGTAAGTCCAAACGCCATGCCGTGTTTAATTCTGTTAAGATAGATGGTGATCACCTTGTTCTCACACTAAAATCTTTGAGTGAAACGAAATGGTCCTGCAGACATGGGAAGCAGTAAAAGCAGTCACCGAGGAAATGCCGAAAATTATCAAAGCTCAAAGCTCTTCTCATTTTAGCAAAGGATAAGGATAAGGATACTATTAAGTCGTACATTGACAGCGTCGCCATTTTGAGTGTCATTTGTGATTTTGAATTCGTATTTGGCTTGATTCTTCTGAAGGTGGTGATTTTATCAAAAACAAGCAGTCTAAGTAACTATCTACAAGGGAAAGGCGTCGACGTTATCACTGCATGAAATAAATGTTGATCTCACGATCAACACGCTCCGTAAATGTCGCAACAAAAAGAATTTTGAACTCTTGTGGGAAAGAGCACAGATCATGTCCAATGAAATGGAAAGTGCTTTGGGAGACGTTGTGCTAAACGACTCACTTTTAGAAAACAGCTTTGATGTTGTGGCAGAGTTTTACAATGTCGATAGGAGTCTTTTTGAAGTCGAGAAAAGTCGACTATGCGACTTATTACCTGTATTATACAAGGCAGCAAACATTCTTGCATCGATGCCTGCTACATCATGTACCGCTGAAAGGTCAGTGGATTTCGGCGCGTGAAAACCTACCTCCGCTCGACAATGGACGAAAAACGCTTGAATTATATTGCTGTCATTAACATTGAATGAGCATATGCTAACCCAACTATTGAGAACGACATGGTTAAAATAATTGATACTTTTGGTAGACGAAATGGACGAAATAGCTATTTCTTCTAAGTGAAACCTCTTAGCCAGGCTTCCAATTTAAATGTTGAATGCACTTGTTAAAATATAGATAATTCATTTGTAAAATCAAATAAAAGTCTTATTATAAAAATTCGGGCACTTTTTGTCATCAGCTTAAAAATTCGGGCAAATTTTGTTTGCCCCCCCAAATAAAATAGTGCCCGTACGCCTATGAAGACACTGGACACACTGGCATTGAGTGACTCTATATCCATGAAGCCAAACTGTACTCAAACAATTTGATTCAAGTGTCAAACCAAAGAATAATGATGAAAGACATATATTTACGTAATCAAGCTTCATTCAGTGTAGTGTAAGGTGATTTTATCTGTTAATATCAATAATTAGGTGTACTGATAAAGTATGCTCGATTTCGACACATTTTCAAATTTTACAAAGTTTGCGCGCTTGTCATTTTTGTCAAATGGTAAAGCAGAAAGATATTATTGGAGATTTGTGTTGACTAATGTTAGTAGTTTATAGAAAAGTTAAAGATATGTGCCAATGAAGTGCCACGATTTTGAAATAAGCTTTCAAAGTTTATATATTTTGAGACTATATCCGTTATCCGTTCAGGGGGGTCAATAACTGCGCTGTTTTCTACTTTATACCAAAGAATAATTATCTAAGACATATCAACAACGAAAATAGAAGGATGAGTCTATATTTCTGCGCAAAAATTTTGAAATTTAGGTATGAATTTGATCTAAAAAATAGCGCTCAAAATATGTCGATATTTTGCCTTCATTCGGAGTTCAAGTTGGTTACCAGCCGATCGAACTTCAATCGCCCCCCAAAATAATTTAAAGGAAATTTGAGTAAAATGAAATCGATTTTAGTTGTTCCCAAGGATAGATCTTCAAAATACTAGAGTATGAGAGAAATCTATTTTTCAGCCCCATGTTGACCTGAAGGTTTTTACGGAGACAGCCTCTTAAATCCTGGTCACGGCACCATTATATACCGAATCGTTCCGATATACACTCACAAATAATTAAACATAAAAACTTTATTTATAAAAGCTCGAATAATCAAATTATAACGACATAAAGTTACTGCTCACGAAATAAAATAACAATATAATTTTCTCTCAAGTCTCAACAACAACAACACGAGTTCGTCACGTGATTTAGTTCAGGGGGGTTCTATCAACCTAATTCCGCGGGGGGTTAACCCGCACAAGCCTCGTACCCAGGCGCTGAAAATGGGCACACTACAGTGTTTTTATATAGATCAGTGGCTCGAGCGCGCGGGGGTGCTTGGGGAGGTTGCAGGAAGCGAAGCGCCTGGCAGAATTTGTAACAAACATGGCGGACATCAGGATGCAAATGAGGAAATTGCTGTACTATACTCAATGAAATTGAAAGGCCTGCCCATCGAGCGTGACATTTGGGAAAGATTATATGTCCAAATGATCACTGAGTTGATAATAATTATTTTTCCTCGAAAACGGTATTATATATTTATCATTTTAGCTGGCGAGTTTCCTCAGGACCTCTCGAAATTTAATATAAAGTCTCCTGGTCATGGTTTATATCAAATGGTTGAAAATATATGTCTGGTATTGGATGCACATCATGAAATGTACTGCCTTTTTGCAGTTTGAAAGAAAAGTATTCTGACAACAAAGCCAAAGTCAAAGAAACTGGCCAAGTTTATAACTTTATATTCTTGATATTTTAATATTAAATACATTGAATTTTATAAATATGGAATGTTGAAACTACTATTTATTTGTACTGATGATACATTTTACCTCAGAGGAGAAAATTAACTGGAAAATATTTAATGATTGTAGGTTTCTAAAATTTTGCCAATAGAAGGAATATAAATTAACATGCATGAGTGCTTTTTAGTATGCAAAATATGGTGAAGATAAAAACATAAATTTTAGAGCTCTATTGTTATAAGTGGCTGACAATATTAAATTATATAAACCACAAACCAGACCAAACTAATCTCATCTCATGTATGGTTCACCTGTTGATGTTTGTGATTCACCTTACTTTTGAGTTTTGAACTATGAAGGCTATTGCCCTTGATTGCCAAAATATACTATGTTTACACTAAGGAATGGGGTATACTCTGGATTTACCTCTGGCTGCATACAATACATTTGATACCAGTTACAGACATAGTCTAACAAATTGGACAATTTAAAGGCATGGTTGCACATTGCAATTTGTTGGGCTGATTACAGTACAGATAGTATTGATATTTAAAAATCAATGACATTTGAAAAATATGTGGCAAACATTTGATGGTCTCACTGAAAATATTTGTCAACAGTTAGCAAAATCTAAAATCAGCCCGGCAAAGTATGGTGTATAAACACACAAAAATACAACCATACATGTACCATACATATACACACATGATTTACCACGTTGCCATGGAAATTGGTCTTGGGATTAAACAATCCAAACATGTTTATACACACAAATGCTTTACCTGAAATCATTCTCAGGTCACTCAAGGTAAGTCCCAGTAAACAGCTTGGACAGGTGTAGGTTTGTAGTGTAAACACAAGACCTATCCCAGTTGTCTCTGTGCTTGCTCCTAAATCCTCATGAACGTTTTACACAACTTGACTAAATGAGATATACCTCATCAACATACTATGCAAACAACCCCTGGAGCATTTAACCTAAAATGTTGAGAATTTTATTTATTTTGCTCATAATATAAACTACTAGTATTTACATTCAAAAAGATCTAGAGCTATGGCTGTATGGCAATATTTATGCAATTTAATACTCTTGTGGGCCTTTATTTATACACTCATCCACATCTTAACGTCTAAACAAGCTAGGCACATTAAACTTTGCAAATTAACAACTTTGCCCATTAAGTTTCACTGCCCCCTACTAGGGCTATGGTGGTGTGCTGATTGCACCACCGAGTTTCGTGGTGCAATTGTCAGTTCAAGACCACTTGATAAACTGCTAGATTTTTCAATCTCGTCATAGTTTTCCATCTCATAATCTGCTACAGTGGCAATGGGGACATCACTATCTAACAACATAATAAATTAACAACATTTCTATTACTCATTAGTCATTAATTCATAAATGTACTATATTATAATGCTTCAGATCACCAAAAATGTGATGCATGATGTATTCAAATGTCTGCTGACTTAGGAACTTAAACTACATAAGTAGACAATACCTTCTTCAAAATCAAGTTGGGAAAAGGATGCATTAAATATATCATCAGAACTTACTGATGCTATCAAAAGAAGATTTAATAGGTGTTTTAAAAACGCATACAGGTGATACGGCAATTTGCTGCTATTGCAATTTATATAAAATTAGCTTTGACATTGTTGTTATTGCATGAACCAAAGTCCAAAGAGACAAATATAACAGCATTCAACACTGAACAGATTTATATAACAATATATATCGCTATTTACATCATATAAAATAATGTAAATAATACTTAACTAAAATCCTTTCGTTTATAATATCAATTCTATTATAACACAGGTATATCATATTAAAAATTACTCATATAACAGACTTAGTCTGTCAGTCTGTATATTAATTCAAAAAGAGGTTAAAAAGCGCCTATTAAGTATGTTTAAAGAAAAAGATTACCTTCATGTGGCTGTCTTTACTCCATCTGGTCCATATTGTCACGGAAATTGGGCACAAAATGCACAAAAACGCTTAAAAACTACATTTCTAAACTAAATTTGAGAAATCGACAATTTCTTGTACTTATCGAACAAATTCTCCCAGGCGCCTCCGGTTCCAGTTGCGTCCTCCCCAAGCACCCCCGCGCGCTCGCTCATCTTAGCCACTGATCTATATAAAAGTACTGTAGTGTGCCTATTTTTAGTTAATTGCGCCTGGGTATGAGGCTGAGTTGTATCTATCTAACTGAATTTTTATCTTATTCACTTCTTATATTGACTTTTATATAGTAACTGTAAATAAACTTAAATTTTTAAATGGATTGATGTAAATATATTAAAATTTTCTAAATACTGTAAAGCGCCATTGAGCTATAGGAAATGGCGCTATAGAAATACATATTATTATTATTATTATTATTATTATTATTATTATTATTATTATTATTATTATATAGAAACAAGTAACTAGGACCATTATTTTGACTAGAAATAAGAACCATTTAAATGTCAACGCAGCCCATTTCCATTATACAGCATCCACTTCCACCATCGGAACCAACTTTGAAACGAACTGCAGTCGAACTTTTACAACGTACATTCTGAAGTTACAAATAAACACTGGTCAGGAGCTTAGATTTCAAAAGCGAATTGAAATTGAGAATGAGACGCAATTTAAATTGTTGTTGGGGCAGGCACGCTTGGATTTGACTAATGCACAAGTAAAAGACATCATGGCCCGCGCTATAACGTTTAGGCTTTTACACAGGTTACACAATGCATAATGGTTACACAAAGTCACAGCAATTTCAAAATTAACCATGGCTTCACAAAATAAATTACATTCAGTCACAAAATAGGTAGATGCATTTATTTTTAACACATGCTATCTTAATACACATGCATGTAATGTAGTTTGAAATCGATAGTGTACTTATTAAAAAAACAATATTGCTATTTTGAGGGAGTTGCACAAGTGCACATAACAGATATTGTTATATATATATATATATATATATATATATATATATATATATATATATATATATATATATATATATATATATATATATATATATATATATGAATGTTGTGGTTTCCCACGTTGACGATTCCACTCGTGTTGCGTTATGTAGCGGTTTATGAGTTGTTTTCAGACGAGTGTATACCAAACCGGGCAAGCAGAAAATTCTACTTGACCGCGGCTGGGATTCGAACCCGCGACCTTCGCATTTCTAGAACGATGCTCTACCTTCTGAGCTACAAGGTCAAGCTGAGAACGACGTGTTAAGTTATGATGTTATTCGCATTTCGGAGGTTAGTCCTACAATGCGTAAAGCCAGCTATTAGTCTGGGAATGTTGTATGTGAATGTTGTGGTTTCCCACGTTGACGATTCCACTCGTGTTACGTTATGTAGCGGTTTATGAGTTGTTTTCAGACGAGTGTATACCAAACCGGTATATATATATATATATATATATATATATATATATATATATATATATATATATATATATATATATATATATATATATATATATATATATATAATTCAGTCAAGGTTTGAATGTTTGCGTCGCTACTCTGAGTTTCACGCTTTACGCGATCATCAGGCAACTGCAGTTCTACTTATTATGGTATTGAGTGCTCTTCTACCTTACGTCAACTCATCGACTATTTTTTTTAATATAGTCTTCAGTATATATATATATATATATATATATATATATATAGTTTAAGATTTTGGTTTACGAAACACAAACAGTGCTCAATACCATATAGATAGAGCGTAATATAGTTTTTCGTTTTACCTCAAAAAACCACAACAGTCTGTTTCATCCGTATAGGAATCATCAGGTGGTCCTTCTATATATATATATATATATATATATATATATATATATATATATATATATATATATATATATATATATATATATATATATATATATATATATATATACAATAATAAATCGTTGTCCGTTGTACAAAAAGAGTGCACAATAACAAATTTAATTGATAGAGCAAAATATAAATATATATATTTAAAAAACTCATTAATAATTCATGAAGAAAACACAAAGAAAAATCATAAGCGTGTCGTTCTGTATATGTGATACAGATTCATGTTGATTTACATAAACTTTAACTTTGATTTTCTCGGCTTAGACAACGTTTATTTTTAAAATTACTTCGCCAATGAACTCATAAGATGAGTCGTTTTTAAGCCATTTACAACATTCGCGTCCGTGTTGTATCGGATATACAAACTCTCGCCTTCGGCTCGAGTTTGTATATCCGATACAACACGGCCGCTCATGTTGTAAATAGTACATATATATATATATATATATATATATATATATATATATATATATATATATATATATATATATATATATATATATATATATATATATATGTATAATTAATTAAAGTTATATATATATATATATAATTAATTAAAGTTCTCCGAATTGAAATATATTTTTATTGAGCTTTCGACTCGGTACTTCGAGCCTTCTTCAGAACACTGAGATTAAAATTACATAGGTACATTATTTAATTAATTTGTTAACTTAAAATACAGTCACAACTCTGAGTTTCACGCTCAATGCGATCTTCAGGCGACAATGTTTAAACACAGAGTAGAGACATACAGAGACGTAACTGACCGTCGTAAACACTGCGGAAGATTACGTTATCATATACCCAATTTTTCAGGCGACCGGGCGAAAAATGATCAACTGCGCGTGCTCAGCAATTTAAAGTGAGTCGTCATCAGGTCGTCATCCATCTAGTAACTTGCCGAGCATGTGCACAAAAAAAGTGGGTACACTAGTTACGTCTCTGTATGTCTCTACTCTGTGGTTTAAATCTCGATAAAAAAAAACCTGTATGATTACGCATGCGAGTTCGTTAGGCTACTTGCGTGATGGTATTGCGTGCGCACGTTCAAATT